CTTATCCTGTGCCTAATAATAAATAAATCAAGACTTGCCTCTCCCTTTGTAGGTTTTGGGACTAGCTGCTCCAAGAAGCAGTTGTTTAATGGTGTCTAAAAATTTTATGTTTGCATACTGTTCTGGGGTGATGTGTGCCCAGCCAATGTAGGGATAGTTGGAGTCTCTCACTATTACTGGGTTTTCTGTTTTTGTAGCCTCTAATCTCCCTGAGCATTTCACAATAACTGTCACCATCCTGGTCAGGTGGTTGGTAGTATAGTCCTACTGCTAGTCTACTTTTATAATGTAAGCATGGAATTTCTTCCAAAGAGATTCAATGGTGCAGTTTCATTCATTGACGATTTTGACTATATTTGACACTCTACTTTCTTTCACAGACAGCACCGCTACACCATCAGCGGTGTATGATCTAATCTGTCATTCCTGTATCCCACTGATTATCATTATTCCCCAAGTTTCTGTAATGCCTATTATATCAGTACCCTCAAGCAATCAAATACACCCATCTGAGAATTTAACTTTCTCACATTTTTAATCATAGAACACTAGAACTGGAAGGGACTTCGAGAAGTCATAGAGTCCAGTCACCTGTCCTCATGATAGGACCAAGCACTGTCTAGACCAGTGATTCTCAACCTTTTTTAATAAAGTACTCCTTTTTTAAAAAAAAGATGTACTTGGGGTACTTACAGTTTTCAGACGCGCACAATTTTTTTCTACCATAGCAACACATTTGTTTAAACAACTTAATCATAGCTGAATGGGTGACGAAATTTGTGGGTGCAAAAAGTACAAAAATAATAAAGTACTGTAAAACTTAAAACAAAAATTCAGTTTTCTCCAAATTTCAGTTGTGTTGACATACCCCCCAGACTTCTCTCGAGTACCCCTAGGGATACTTGTACCACTGGTTGAGAAACACTGGTCTAGACTGTTCCTGACAGGAGTCTATCTAATCTGCTCTTAAATATCTCCAAAGATGAAGATTCCACAACCTCCCTCTAGGCAATTTATTCCAGTTTTTCCTAATGTACAGCCTAAACCTCTCTTGCTGCAGTTTAAGCCCATTGCTTCTTGTCCTATCTTCAGAGACCAAGGAGAACAATTATTCTTCCTCCTCCTTGTAACACCCTTAGGTTCTTGAAAACTGCTATCAGGTCCCCTCTCAGTCTTCTCTTTTCTAAACTAAACAAGCCCAGTTCTTTCAGTCTTCCCTCATAGGTCATGTTCTCGAGACCTTTAATCATTCTTGTTGCTCTTCTCTGGACCTTCTCCAATTTCTCCACATCTTTCCTGAAATGGGGTGCCCAGAACTGGACACAGTACTCCAATTGAGGCCTAATCAGCGCAGAGTAGAGCGGAAGAATGACTTCTCATGTCTTGCTCACAACACTTCTGTTAATGCATCCGAGAATCATGTTTGCTTTTTTTGCGTCAGTGTCACACTGTTGACTCATATTTAGCTTGTGTTTCACTATGACCACTAGATCCCTTTCTGCAGTACTCCTTCCTAGACAGTTGCTACCCATTCTGTATGTGTGACATGGGTTGTTCCTTCCTCAGTGGAGCGCTTTGCATTTGTCCTTATGAAACTTCATCCTGTTTACCTCAGACCATTTCTCCAGTTTGTCCAGATAATTTTGAATTATGACGGTATCCTCCAAAGCAATTGCAACCCTTCCCAGCTTGGTATCATCTGCAAACTTAATAAACATACTCTTTATGCCAATATCTAAATGGTTGATGAAAATATTGAACAGAACTGGTCCCAAAACAGACCCCTGCAGAAACCCACTTGTTATGCCCTTCCAGCATTATTGTGAACCATTAATAAGTATGTATAAAATGTATCAGTATTTGTCTGCCTTTGTGTGATATAATTGAATGAGACTCTTTTCTCTTCAGTTCCTACCTATACTTTATTAAATTCTATTCTCTCCTCTTTATTACAATATAGAGGCTATGGGATTTAAGAAACCCTCCTCAGGATGTGTCTGTTTGAACAATGTGCTCTTCTGCACCTGTTGGCTTTTCTCCATCTGAATACTGCATACAGATGTGGTTGCCTCATCTCCAAAAAGATATATTGGCATTGGAAAAGGTTCAGAAAAGGACAACACAAATGATTAGGGGTTTGGAACGGGTCCCATATGAAGAGAGATTAAAAAGACTTGGACTTTTCAGCTTAGAAAAGAGGCGACTAAAGGGGGATATGCTAGAACTCTATAAAATCATGACTGGTATGGAAAAAGTGAATAAGGAAAAGTTATTTACTTATTCCCACAATAAAAGAATTAGGGGTCACCAAATGAAATTAATAGGCAGCAGGTTTAAAACAAACAAAAGGAAGTTTTTCTTTACTCAGTGCACAGTCAACCTGTGGAACTCCTTGCTAGAGGATGTGGTGAAGGCTAGAACTTTAACAGGGCTCAAAAAAGAGCTAGCTAGATTCATGGAGGTTAGGTCCATCAATGACTATTAGCAGGGCTCGACAATCTATTGAATCTATTCGCCCGTGGCGAATAGATTTCAGCCTGGCGCCCTGTTTACCAGCAGCACGCGCATGCACAATGTATCGTTGGCGAGCAGCTTTCGCTGTGGTTCATCAAGCCCTGGCTATTAGCCAGGATGTGTAGGAGTGGTATCTCTAGCCTCTGTTTCTCAGGAGGTGGGTGACGGGAGGGATCTCATGAGGATTACGTGTTGTGATCTCTCCATCTGGGGCATCTGGTATTGGCCACTGTCGGTAAACAGGACACTGGGCTAGATGGACCTTTGGTCTGACTCAGTATGGCCGTTCTTATGAGGATCTCTTAGGTTTAAATCCTCCTCTACAATCTTTTTTATTTTATACATCAACAGGCTGTTTTTTTTCTGGTTTAGATGGATCCCATCCTTCCTATATAGTCTCCTCCTTTCCCAAAAGGTTCCCCAGTTCCTAATAATCCTATCCCCCTCCTTCCAATAATTGTCTCATGCACACATTGGGACCCTGCTGTTCTGACTGGCTCTGCCTGTGGAATTGGAAGCATTTCAGAGAACGCAGCCAAGAAGGTCCTGGAATTCAATTTCTTACCTACTACCCTAATTCTGGCCTTTAAGACCTCTTCCTGTACCTTTTGCTATGTCTTTGGTACCTACATGTACCATGACCCCCAGTTCCTCCCCAGCACTGCATGTAAGTCTATCTAGAGGTCGCAAGAAGTCCACAAGCTTTGCACACTGCAGGCAAGTCACCATGCAGTTCTGGTCATTGCAAACCCAATTATCTATATTTCTAATGATCAAATCCCCCATTAATATCATCTGTCTCTTCCTAATAACTTCCCCTCCCCCACAAGGGTGTCCTCAGTGCCAGAAGATACCATGATGTCATTTGGAAGGAAGGTCCCAACTATGGGATAATTTCTCTCCATCCCAGCTTGTTGCTCTTCCCTCGAACTTTCCTCATCCTCAACAACAGAGGCTGTCTAACTGGGGGAGGGATCTGCTCTACTATGCGCTGCAAAGTCTCATCTATGAACCTCTCAGTCTGCCTTCACTCCTCCAGTTCAGCCACTGTGGTCTCAACAGCCCATATTCTGTCTCTGACAGCCATGGGCTACTTGTACTGATTGCATGCACATATAACGTGTCCTCAAGGCCAGTAATTAGACATGGTGCATTCAGTGCAATACGCTGGATAGCCCCACTTCGATTCTGTACTTTGCCTGCATTATTTACTCTTACAGGGATTTTTTTGGTTTGCTTTCTGGGGTGGTTGTTTTGCTAAATTTAGACTATGCATGCTTGCTATATCTGCCTCTTGTGCTTCCTCTCCAAACTCCCCTATTTGCTGCTCCTTTTCTCTGGCTCCTCTGATGACTTAAGAATTAGCTTTTTAAATCCCACCTTCTTGTCAAGGGATCCTAAAGGGATTAGGGATCCAAGGATGGCAGGCTAGAGTTTTGTTAGGAAGCTCTCAGTCTTGCCCCGTACGCTGTTTGGCTGAGCACACGGACCCCAAAACAGATCACATTATGAACTTCAAGCAAACAGGCACGTGGCGACAAATAGACAATAAACGCACCCCAGTGAGTCTCACTTGGTCTCCTCTTCACCTGGAGAACTCCCTCGCAAAACTCCTGTTTGCTGTTTCTTGTTGCTTGCTCCTTCCCTTTTCCCCTACCTAGTTTGTAGCCTGTCAAATAATCAGCCTGGCTGTTTGAACACAGGACTTGGTGCTTCATCTGCTAACATAGAGGGGGGCAAGATGTAATGCAAGTGGCACATCTTGTTGCAGGAGGGATTCCAAAGTGTCAAGAATCTGAAACTCCTTTCCATACCATGAGCTCTTGAGAGACAAGTGGTTTCTGTGGTCAGGCTCCAGAAAATGGAGAAGTTCATGTGTGTAGTCCATCTCTAGCTGAGTTCCTAGGTCCTTAAAAATACTGGAGTGTTGTAGCTTTCTTTGCCCTTGTTATGTGATCCCACATGGGCTGCACCTGACCGAGAAACTCTTGTCATTACAGGCACTTTTGCAGCACTGGCATTGGTTTTCTTTCTCTGCATCCTTGATATCTTGAGCCATGTTTCTCATGCATCTCTTAGGTTAGGCTGTTTCTGTTACACATTCGGAACTTGAAATGATTCCTGCATAATGAACTTTTTCTAATCCATTTTTTTTTAAGTTGTATGGTCGGCACAAGGAATATCTCAATGGCCTTGTTGGCTCAGACTTTGAAATGGTGAGTAACAGATGTGGTAAGAATATGAAATCATCAGTGTCCTGAAGCCAGAATTGTTAATAAATTGTCTTTGGAGAATGGTGACTCCCAAGTCCCACAGGGCCGTCTTGGCCCTGATCTATCCCACAAAGTTAAGATGATGTACAGCAGCATATGTTGATCCAATTATGTCAGTGTACACAGTGCAGCCTTGCTCCCAATGATGTAAGTGTCCTATAGAGCACTGATATATCTCCACCTCCATGAGAGATATCAGCTTACCTTGGGGTGTTAGGCCAATGCAGTGTCTGGGTGGACACTGTGAGTTACTTACATTAGTTGTTGGCTGTCATTTTTGTCAGTTTCACAGCTCCATGCCAGAACCATGAAACTGACAAGAAAGCCAACCTGTAACCACGGGGCAGGTGGGGGGCTCCCAAGTTCAACCCAGCTGCTTCCCAGGCTCCAGATTCCCCATCCCAGCTGGCTTGAGTGGGAGAGAGCCAGGAGCCAGGATTTCCTTAGTGACCGTAGATGTCCAGCTTGAGATACCATAAAGCATCTGGTTTTAGAGAGGGTTGAACTCAGATTGAATGGTCATTTTTGGAAATCTTAGCTGCATCCCGTGAGAAGTCAGTACACTCTCCCAGGGAGTCGAGTCTCCCTTTGACCAGCAGAGAGAACCCCCTGGCTGGGGCTTTTAGAGTACTTGACAATGAAGCATTGTGCAGTGATGATCTGGCTTAGTGCAGGGTGACTAGTCATCTGTCACTGAGCTACTTCTTACCTTTCTGCCTATGTTCTCTCTGTCCTAGACTCGTCCTGGTGAACTTCGTCTGTTTGTGAATGGAGAGATAGGTGAGTGCCTATTATAGACTCTCTGTTGAGGAGGCAGCTTGCTGACATGTAGGGCCCCTGAGACCTCGGAACTTGGATCCACAGTTCCTCGATTTAGGTCAAGTGCCTTGTCTTCTGGGAAGGGTGTGAGCTGTTTCCCTCCCAGTGCCCCACATCCCTGCTGACTAGTCCCAGGAGCAGTGTTGGCACATTCCAGTGAGCCTTTAGCCATCCCAGGCAGACATACAGGCGTCCATATGCAGCAATGGAGACCATAGCAAAGAACAGAGCCGAGCATGGAGCCTCCCAAGTTGCTGATGGGGAGAGGTGCTGCCAGTCACATGAGGAAGCCCTCTTTGAGAAGATCCTGGCATCCACAGTAATCTCTTTTCCTTACTGTGACCTTTGGGAACCTTCTGTGGGATTCTCTCAGCCTACGCAAGGGGTTTCTGGAGGGTTTGGGTTGTAGTTACGAGACTCCATTGTCATTGTCTTTTCCTCTCAGTTTCAGCTCAGGGCTACGAGTATGACCGTCTCTATGTTCATTTCTTCCTCGAGTTGCCCAGCCGTAAGTAGACGAAGTCTGGTTCCTGAGCTAATGTCCCTGCCTCATGGCAGCGGTTAGGTTGCCCCAGGGATTGACATGACATTTTCAGAGTTGAATGGATGAGTATCTATGGCTTGAGCCAAGCTTCATGCATCTGGGGGTATCCAGGGTTGTGAGGCAGCTCGCTGTAACCTGTGCTTAGAGTAAAGTGTCTGTGCCTCCTGGGGGGGGAAGCTCTCCAAAACAAGCAGTTACCTCCTGGTCTGCCAGGCCTCTCTCTGTCTCTGTCTCTCTCATATATATCTGTTGGCCTACTCCAATCCCCAGCTCTGCCAAGCCTCCCCCTGGAGTGACCAGCTCAGAGTCTGCTGGACACCTGGGATTCACAGGTCTACTCCCAGAGAAGCAGTACACTCAAGCTTATTAGTTTTCTTTCAGATCACTATTCCATTTAACCCAGAGCACTTTGATACGAGTCTAGTGAAAACAAGTAAAAGTTTAACAAAACGTAGGGATTTAAGTGCAAGTAGAAATATTGGAAACAAGTGGTTACAAGTAAAATAAAATCATACCACGCATGTTGGAGCCTCGACCTAGTTAACTAGATACAGTCATGTCTTACAATGTTGCTTATCAGCATTTTTCAGTCAGGCAGGCTGTGATTCCTTTTTCCTGAAACATGCCACTCTCTCTACTTGTCTCCTCAGTAAAGGATATCATGTGTCTTTCTGATGTACCACGCTATGTCTTTGATTTGTCTTACACAGCAGCAGAGTGTCCTGTTGATTCTGTTGTGTAGGTTGTGATCTCCTCACTTCAAAATGTCGATTAGCAGGTGGTCCTATGTGCAAATAGATGGACATATGAGATACAGTGACTAGCCAGGGAGACCCCTGCCTGACCACCTTCTGCTGTCCTGTTAAAGTACATATCTTAAAAGCACAGTTTTCAGTGTGGACATGTAATTTTTAATTAACTTCCTTACAAGCATTTTGCAGTAATTTTATGATGACCAGTGAGCTATAGGCTCACAGTAAAGACCTTACATGCCTCCTTTTAGCTGACTATTATGCAGATGTGACCCAGGGGAACCCTTTAAAACCCAATGCACCCGTTATGCTCTTGCCAGATCTCACGAAGATGTCCCTGGGTCACAAGGATGCATAACACATGCTGACCAGTGGATTATCCTCACTAGTCCCCTTGCAGTGTTTTGGGCCTGCAGGCTCCCGGAGCCTCGTCCTGAGGATACTGTGTCAAGCTCTGCTCTCTACCTCTTCCCCATTGGCAATGGTCCCCACTAAGATCCCTCTGCCTGGTGGTGTCTGTGACGGCGCGTTGGGGTTCCCCTGACTCCTGCACCCCCGTAGTGGCACGAACAGACTCCACCAGCCACTAGAATAGAGGAAGTTTATTGCTTTTCCAGGATACAGCCCAGCACAGATGTAATCCGGTTACAGGGCTAGGCCTGTGATGCCTCAGCCCACCTCGAGATGGGGGAGACGGCCCTTAAATCCCAGCCCCCTTGCTCAGACTGCTCCCTCCGTGATTCCAGACAGAAACTAAAAAACTCTCTTCCAGCCCTGCTCCCCAGCTAGGTGCTGGTCTCTGCCCTCCTTCATCTCCCTTCCTGGGAGGCTTAGCCTGGGTGTCTGGATTAATCCACATTTGGGAGAGTCAGTGAGAATCTCCCATCACAGCGCAGGGGGACCCCGGGTCACAGAGCAGACAGCACCCCCACTACACCACAGTGTCCAGTTTCCATGTGCTGTGCTAACACTGAGCTGTCCTTTCCTGAGTGGAGAGAGGCAGGCCCCTGACCCTAGGGTCACTGTGAGTTTGAGTCTGTCTGTAGAGTGTTTGCTGCTTTGTGCAGCCTGTGCAGCAGGCCTTGATCACGGTTAGTTTGTCTGGCCCTGTTTTAAACCCTTGGCTTTTTATCTCTGTGAGGCTGTAACCCTTGTCCCCTCCTCTCTATGGAGTTAAAACCCAGTTAGTTGTCTGGCTTTCTGGGCGTACAGCCCTTGCCTGTATTGTGCTTCCAGGTTAAATGTAGGTAAGTTTAATCTCTTTAAATCTGAATGAAGTTGGCTCCAAAGTTCCAGGGCTTTCCCAGGAGACATAGCTGGAATGACGAGAGTTCAGCAAAGTGCCTAAAGGGAGCTCAGTGGGAGAGGACTAACACTCTTCTCGGCTGCTCCTCCTCCTTTTCTTGCAGCGTTAGCCTTACATCTCACCACCTCCTCCTCTTCTACCAGGTTGGTCAAGCCCAGCATTCCAGCAACTCTCTGGTGTGACGCAGACATGTGCCACCAAGACCCTACGCAGGGTAAGGGGCATGTAAGAGCACTTTTTGGTGGTGTAGGTTTGCACGCTGATGGGGCTTCCTACTGCTTGAGAGGGGCCCTGGCTCCCTGTGTAGAGTGTTACAATGGGAGGCATTATGGGGGTTCCTGACTGGGATAGAGGTCTCGGGCTTGATATTGTCTTGGGGACTTGCCAGGGACAGCAGCACATTCAGTGCCCTCAGTCTGACTAACCTTGGCCAGGAATCAGTCCGCAGCAGGATCAAACCTCATCCCTTCTGCATGATGCTGCCACTCGCTCTCTTCTGCCCAGGGTCTGAGCTCTGCCCTCTCATGCCATTCTTGTTCCTCTTTCCAAGGACAATGTGGCACACTTCTCCTACCCCTTTACTCTGGAGATGTTTTTCACCCAAGAGGATGAGTCAGAAGGTGAGTCCCTTGCTGTCCTGAGCCTTGTTTGCCAGAATCTGTCAGGAGCATTATGCTGTACTCATTGCACAGCCTGACACACACAGTCATGCACCTAAGTTCTTCCTCACCCTCTGAGGAGCAAAACACTATCTAGAAACCATTCTCCCCATGCCACATGGACCAGGTGCATCTGATGAACAGTTGCCTCCCATGCCAGGGAATATGCGGGGATGGGACATTCTTGCTGGTGAGGTCCTGAGTTCTTAGGGACCAGCTCTCTGTGTCCAGCAGAGGCCTCGTTGGTTCATTTATAATATCGCTCCCCTCCTTTTAGGCTCTCTTCCACAGTGGCCTGTGATCTATTTTGAGGTTCTCTCGCTGGATTATTGGCAGAGGTATCGTGTTGAAGGCTATGGATCTGTGGTGCTGCCAGCAGCTCCAGGTAAAACCTCCCCAAATGACCGGTATCTGGAGGCTGGAACATTAAGCTTAGGGAGCTCTTCCCAGCCTGAAACTCAGCTGATCAAAGGATTTCCCGCTAGCATTGTGGGACACATGGGAGGCAAGATCAAATCAGTATCATAGATGCCTGTATACAAATGCAAGAAGCATGGGTAATAATCAGGAAGAACTGGAAGTGATTATTGATGTTATGATAGTACTACAGAAACAGGGTCGATCCTGCTCTATATTTGCTTTAACTTCTGTCATGCTGTCAGTATCAGTACACATTTTAAATAGTAAATATAAGTTGTTCCACTGTCTTCATTAATACCAAATTCTAGGAAAACATCATTTAAACTTTTTGGGGGTTGGATGGTATGCTAGTGATCTACTGCAGACCACATGCCCAGGTAGTAGAGGTGGATGAGGCTTTTTCTAAACAATTAACAAAATCATCCAAAGCACAGGATTTGGTGGTGATAGGGGACTTCACCTATCCAGACATGTGTTGGCAAACTAACACAGCAGGGCACAGACTATTGAATAAGTTCTTGAACTGCATTGAAAACAATTTTTTATTTCAGAAGGTTGAAAAAGCTATGAGGGGGGAAGCTTTTATTTGATTTTAATAATAGGGAGGAACTGGTTGAGAATTTGAAAGTGGAAGGCAGCTTGGGTGAAAGTGATCATGAAATCATAAGAGTTCCTGATTCTGAGGACTGTAGAAGGGAGAACGGCAAAATAGAGACAGTGGATTTCAGGAAGGCAGATTTTGGTAAGCTCAGAGAGCTGGTAGGTAAGATCCCATCGGAAGCAAGACTAAGGGGCAAAACAACTGAAGAGAGTTGGCAGTTTTTCAAAGGGACATTGTTAAGGGCCCAAAAGCCTGCTATTCTGCGTATGAAAGGTAGAAAGTATGGCAAAAGGCTGCGTTGGCATAACCAGGAGATCTTGCATGATCTAAAAATAAAAAGAGGAGTCCTATAAAAAGTGGAAACTAGGACAAATTACAAAAGATGACTATAAGCAAACAATGAAGGTATGCAAGGGAAAGGCAAAGGCACAAAACAAGCTCAAACTAGATACAGACATAAAGGGAAACAAGAAGAGTTTCTATAAATTAGAAGCAAGAGGAAGACCAAGGACAGGGTAGGCCCACTGGTCAGTGAGGAGGGAGAAACAGTAACAGGAAACTTGGAAATGGCAGAGATGCTTAATGACTTCTTTGTTTCAGTCTTCACTCAAGGAGCTGATAGAGGAGGTATCTGAGCCTCTAGCTATCATCTTTGAAAAACCATGGGAGAGATTCCAGAAGACTGGAAAAGTGCTAATTTAGTGCCCATCTATAAAAAGGGAAATAAAAACAACCCAGGAAACTACACACCAGTCAGTTTAACTTCTGTGCCAGGAAAAATAATGGAGCAAGTAATTAAGGAATTCATAGAATCATAGAGCTGAAAGAGTCCTCAGGAGGTCATCGAGTCCAGTCTCCTGCCCAAGGCAGATCCAATCCCAACTAAATCAACCCAGCCAGGACTTTGTCAAGCCGAGACTTAAAACCCTCTAGGGATAGAGATTCCACCCCATCCCTAGGTAACCCAGCCCAGTGCTTCACCATCCTCCTAGTGAAATAGTTTTTCCTAAAATCCAACCTAGACTTCTCCCACTGTAACTTGAGACCATTGCTCCTTGTTCTGCCATCTGTCACTACTGAGAACAGCCTCTCTCCATCCTCTTTGGAACCTCCCTTCAGGAAGTTGAAGGCTGCTATCATATCCCCTCTCACTCTTCGCTTCTGCAGACTAAACAGACCCAAGTCCCTCAGCCTCTCCTCATAAGTCATATGCTCCAGCCCCCTAATCATTTTGGTTGCCCTCCGCTGGACCCTCTCCAATGCGTCCACATCCTTTTTGTAGTGGGGGGCCCAGAACTGGACACATACTCTAGATGTGGCCTCATCAAAGCCGAATCAAGGGGAATAATGGCATCTCTGGATCTGCTGGCAATGCTCCTCTTAATGCAACCTAATACGCCATTAGCCTTCTTGGCTACAAGGGCACACTGTTGACTCATATCCAGCTTCTCATTAACTGTAACCCCGAGGTCCTTTTCTGCAGAACTACTTCTTAATTGGTTGGTCCCCAGCCTGTAACAATGCTTGGGATTCTTCTGTCTGAAGTGCAGGACTCTACACTTGTCCTTGTTGAACCTCATCAGATTTCTTGTGGCCCAATCTGCCACTTTGTCTACGTCACTCTGGACCCTATCTCTGCCCTTAAGCGTATCTACCTCTCCCCCCAGCTTAGTGTCATCCGCAAACTTGCTGAGGGTGCAATCCATCCCCTCATCACACACCTGGTATCTCTGTTGTTAGCTGCTGGGAGAGGAGGGGATCGCTGTTTTTAGTTGTGTGAGAGCAGGGTGGGGAGGTGTCGCACATTCATTTCATACATACAGAAAGGGAAGTGACTGTCTAGGAAGGAATACTACAGAAAGGGATTTAGGGGTCATAGTGGACCACAAGATTAATATGAGTCAACAGTGTAACACGGTTGCAAAAAACCCCCAGCAAACATGCTTCTGGGATAGAAATGTAGCCGTGTTAGTCTGGGGTAGCTGAAGCAAAATGCAGGACAATGTAGCACTTTAAAGACTAACAAGATGGTTTATTAGATGATGAGCTTTCGTGGGCCAGACCCACTTCCTCAGATCAAATAATGGAAGAAAACAGTCACAACCATATATACCAAAGGATACAATTAAAAAAAAAATTTAAAAAAAATCATATTTGTTCATTTTTTTTAATTGTATCCTTTGGTATATATGGTTGTGACTACTTTCTTCCACTATTTGATCTGAGGAAGTGGATCTGGCCCACGAAAGCTCATCATCTAATAAACCATCTTGTTAGTCTTTAAAGTGCTACATTGTCCTGCATTTTGCTTCATGCTTCTGGGATGCATTAACAGGAGAGTTGTGAGCAAGACATGAGAAGTCATTCTTCCAGTCTACTGTAAGTAGGCCTCAACTAGAATATTGTATCCAGTTCTGGGCACCACATTTCAAGAAAGATGTGGAGAAATTGAGATGGTCCAGGGAATAGCAACAAGAATGATTAAAGTTCTAGAGAACATGACCTATGAGGAACTGGAAAAGAGAAGACTGAGAAGGGACATGATAGTGGTTTTCAGGTATCTGAATGGGTGTCACAAGGAGGAGGGAGAAATTGTTCTCCTTGGCCTCTGAGGATAGGAGAAGAAGCAATGGGCTTAAACTGCATCACAGGAGGTTTAGGTTGGACACTAGGAAAAACTTCCTACCTGTCAGGGTGGTTAAACACTGGAATAAATTGCCTAGGGAGGTTGTGGAATCTCCATCACTGGAGATATTTAAGAGATGGTTAAACAGACATCTATCAGGGGTGATCTAGAAAGTGCGTGGTCCTACCATGAGGGCAGGGGACTGGACTTGATGATCTCTTGAGGTCCTTTCCAGTTCTGTGATGCTATGATACATTTCCAGTAGGGATGCTAAATAGCAGTTAGGAAGCTAATTGAGTAGTCGATGGAATTTCCATCGACTACTCAATTAGTTGATAAGGGGATTCGCTGTTGCTCTGCTTTTTAAATGTAGTAACAGCTACCAGGCTCTTACTTCATTTAAAATGCAGAGCCGTAGTGTTTGGGACCCAGCACAAGCCAGGACTGCTCAGTCCCAGCTCACGCTATTTTCCCTGCTGCACCTTTGACTCCCCTATCACTTGCAGAGAAAGTGTTGGGGGGAACGGGCTTTAATTCAGCTCCCCCCAGCACTGGCTCCTGCTTCCCCCCCTTGCTGCCTCTGAAACAGTAGTGACTCGACTACCCAATAAGCCTATGTTTATCGGGTAGTCAACTAGTCGCTTACATCCCTAATTTCCAGTCCATTTGTCAGGAGGGATCAGTGACACGGGCCCTTCCTACCATCCTCCCTTGTGATTCTTGACGGGTTTGTGGACATACCTGTCAGATGCTTAACTGGCCTCATCGTCCTGGTACAGGATTCCACACCCTGATAGCCCCCACCTGGCGACCCATTGAGCTGAGTCTGGTCTCTGAGCTGAGGCGGTTTTTCATTGGTGGGTCCCCTGAACTGGAGGACTTGACCTACATCCGGGTGCCAGGAACCTTCACGGTGAGTTCAGCCTTGCGGCTTGTTCCACTCACTCTGAGTCTGATTCTGCACCTTATACAGGAATCCCTTGGGGTGACCTGAGCCAAATTCTAGCCTGCTGCCCAGTGGGCAACACCAGACTCATCATGAAAACTAGCTGCCTCGTTGGCTGTCTGAACAGGATCAACTGGGCCTCCGAGAGTGAACTTTGCTCTCCTGGGCATAGGTGCATGGTCTGGGGAGGGCTGTAGGAGACTTGCATTGCCCTGTCCTGTGCTGGGCTTGCCCTTGGGGTGACCTGAGCCAAATTCTAGCCTGCTGCCCAGTGGGCAACACCAGACTCATCATGAAAACTAGCTGCCTCGTTGGCTGTCTGAACAGGATCAACTGGGCCTCCGAGAGTGAACTTTGCTCTCCTGGGCATAGGTGCATGGTCTGGGGAGGGCTGTAGGAGACTTGCATTGCCCTGTCCTGTGCTGGGCTTGATCTC